CTTCCAGGGAACATAAACTGCTGTTATCCTTCGTACACTCTACAAAGTGTAAAATAATGTTCGTATGATTAAAAAAAAAAAGTTAATTCGCTATATTGGTTATGATTAATTAGGCTACTGTGGTGAATTTGGCAAGTTATGTTACGGTAAGTTACATTATCATTTAAGTTTATATGCATTTTATTTTTATATTGCATTTACCCTTTTCAGCTCGTTAAAATGTCAGCTTAAGCAGCAAAGAAACAAAAACATTCAAATGATGGGAACCGCCGCAGAGATTTTCAAAAGCCATGTAGTGAAAGAATTAGCATGATCAAGAAAGGTGTGTTATAGCATTATGTGCCTTTTCGACTGAATATAATGAAAGCAATCACAGGGCCCCGTCTAGGAGCAGAACACAAAGTGTTAAGAATGTTTTACACACACGCCGTTCGTTCCCTAGTTGATTATGCAGCGCCTGCCTTACTCACTCTCTCCTGGTCAGTGGGCAAACGTTGAGGTTATTCAAAACGATGCAATGCGAGTCATGACAGGAGCCCCCAAATGGACTAAAATACTGAACCTAAGACTGGAAGCCAAGCTAACATCGATTGAAGTAAGGGTAAAAGGGATTGCTGCGTGCATGCTGACCACGATATTGACTAGACCCAGAATCAGTTCACTTAAAGATATAATCACTGGAGCACTAACTCTGGACAGAAGAGCCTCCAATAGCAACAGGTGGACCTATTGTGCGATAAACACCATCAATACATTCGATATAACAAACACAATCACTGAGAGGGGTGTCGATGCAGACTTTGTTATGCAAGCCCCTTGGGAATCTTTGCCAGTAGACTTTAAGATTATGGTTCTTGAGAGGAGAAAAGAACCAGACTAATCCTCATCTGCTACGTAACATTGCACAGATGCATATAGAAGCAAACATGGCATCCGACAGCTTCACTTACTTCACAGATGGATCAGTAGACCAGCAGGGACAAGAAACCGGAGCTGCAGTTAAAGCAGGAAACTGTAAATAGTTGGAGACTCTCAAATGGATGTTCCACTTTACAGAGATGCTAGCCATTTAAAAGGCTTTGGAACATGCTCTTGCTGAACACCGACAACATGTTATCATACATACAGATTCGAGAACAGCCAATGAAGCCTTGCAACGAGAACACATACGTGATAACATCCATCTGATCACAAATGTCATATCATTAATGCAAACACTCAAACGACAAGGCCGACGGGTACTTATCAATTGGGTGCCAAGTCATGTGGGAATAATAGGAAATGACATTGCAGACGAAGCTGCAAAACTTGCAACTAAGAGAAGAAATGTAGACATTTACATACACAGAGTTTATCACAGATTAAGAAAGTAATTAGAAACAGAGCAATGCAAAAGATGTACAGTGACCACATCACAGCAGTTGCAACATCAGGATCTGCGGGTTGGTACAAGAATTCAACCAACTACGAACCACTTAGTTTGATGAAAGGAAGCAGTAGAGCAACAGAAGTACACTTATATCGCATCAGGCTTGGATACCCATGTGCATGGGAAATAGGCTTACAGATTCCGGAAGATGAGAGGAAATGTCAGCACTGGAGAAATGCCCGACAGACCACTGGAACATTATCTAACACAGTTCACAGTTACAAACCCATTAAGATTTCAACTTGGATTCAACAGAGCAGAAGAAGTTGTCAAACACATGGGGCAAAATCTTACTGAAGCGATCATACGAGTCATAAATACTCATACTCCGCCCAAGTAAAACAGAAACAAGCAACACTTAGTGGGCCAGCCAGAGGCTTAGGGCCCGAGTAGGAATATCCCTACTTGGGCCCTAAAAAAAAAAAAAAACTTGTTTCAAAACTGTGATGTGTCTGACTTCCTCCGTAATTCGGCATTATTTAACTTCATAAATGTCTTTGCGATAAGTGAGCAAAAAGAAAAATAACGCATTCCCGATAAATCATAAAAATGCCTTAAATTTGTTTTAAGTTCATCTGACTTGTTTGTCGCTAGTTTTGAGACAAAATACAATTGTTGAACACGGAAAACTAGTTAGTGATGGGGAATACAATCATGACTTAAATATGGTCCTTTCCTTTGTTGACGGTTTTAAAGGAAAAAAATATTCAGCGTATTAATGATTTCCAGCGAGAAGAAACACGGTAAAGAGAGAGAATATTACAGACATTACTTCGCCAGCTAGGCTAGCCATTACTGTTCGATTCTGTAGGGAGTAATAAGCCATGCGAGGACACGATACCCGAGCCTACTACCGGGCCTGAAATATGAGAGGCAGAGCAAATGAATTATCTTGTCGACAGGTTGACCTTTCAAAAATTATTTCCGGGACTTTTGTTTTTGTATTAACAAGCTTTGGTATACACAACAACGTGCTGCTAACCTATTCTGTATGATCGAATACAGAGTGTAGTACAGTCAGGTTCATTCTTGACTCATAATCAAGAATTTCGGATTGATTCAAATCCCAGCCGGGACAGAAATAGTTGGGCGCGTTTTCTATCACCTAATACCACTGTTCACCTAGCAGTAAATAGGTACCCAGGAGTTAATCAGGTTGTCGTGGAGTTGTATCCTGGGTTGGGTCAGTAGTTTGACCCTGGGAGGGGGAGCTCCGATATAAGCCTAACATGCTTATGTACACTGGCTGTGTCTCCCCAACAATGAATTATTAGTATAAATTCATCTAATATCCCCATCTCGCAGGATGGTGTCACACATGGAATCAAGAGAGAACATGAAATGAGTCTAATCTATTAGCCAGCACTAGCAAATTCATTGTACAGCACAAGAATGTCTCCCAATAATCGTGAGTGTATGAAGTAGTTACAGAGCTCAAAGTACCTCGTTCCACTTGGTCGGAAATGATTGATAACATGGCAATCACAACTGGAATCTTCACTACTGGGGAATTCATTACTTGCAGCCACCTGCCGTAGATGTCGATACCCCAGCCTAATTCTGGCAATTACGTACAATGTCAAACTCTTGTACAAAGATGTTTTGTGTTGTCCGTGCATATAGTTCCTGGTTCTAAACATATATCATAACTCTTTATACTCGTGCTGTCTGGCCTTTGAGTGTCAGTGACTGTCCCTCTGCCATCAGTGAGCTTTGAAATACTGTGGTTTTTACTAATACGCTTAACGGAATTGCGCATTTTTCGGTAATCCCAATCAGTATTGGAATCGAGAGAAATTTACCATGACTTCCTATTCTTAAAACTATTCTTTAACACATATTTAACAAAATTGATTTTTCGTCTAGGGAAATAATTTACATCGTTTAAATTATGATAATTAACAGTCAAGTATTATACTCGCCAAAAAAGAAACAGAATACAAGCAGGAACAGCAGACACACTCAGGTTTTTACATTACAATTTAAGAGTTTTGGGTTTCAAATATGAATATTTTTTCTAATTCACTAAATCTTGCATTATGTAGGTTAAAATCAATTTTGTTTTAACTGAGGTTCTATTGCAAATATAATTATTTGAAACAAAAAGGATTAAAAATTTTTATTGTATTGTAAACCGCATATAACATGTACACCTGTGATGGGTAATGGAATGTTTTCAGGGTTTCTTATTGGTTGGTTTGTATATTAAGGATTACTTTTTTGAGTAAAACGGAATTAGCAACGCTTTAATTAATTGAGTTAATGTGGCAATATTACCTTTGAAATAAGATTATAAATTGCATTCTATTGTACAGTACACAATTAAAGCGTGTACAACCGCATGTATAATGATATTTTTCACTTTTCAGGTTTCTTCCAAAAGATTAAGCTGGATTTACCAAGTGTTCTCTATTCTTAAATCAATCTATTATGTTATTAATACATTTACTATCTTCATAATATAAATCATTAAGTTTTCCAAACTAAAATACGAACATTTTCAGAAAAATAAGTATCCAATTATATTTATGAAAAGAATCGGAATCGTGACTCTTTAGTGGAATCTAATACCGTTAAAAATGTTAGTATCGTCTCATCACTAGTTTTTACACCAGGTATTAGAACGCTTAGATCTAACTCAATTTTAGGCTCATCACGTGCAGTTTTAACTGCCTTGTCCGTGTTATCATGCCGGGATAATTAATGGTGCTCCCATAATGATTTGTAAAGCAGTAGGTTTTGTAAATGTGTTTGCAAAATACATTGGACAGCCACGAATAACCAATCACTGTATTGTATCCGAGGTGGTGTTTAATGTGTACTATATATGTACTATGTATGTATGTACTTTTCCTAAATAAAATATTATTATTATTATTATTAATGCTAAAGCTGGCCTTAAAGAAAGTAGATGAAAAATGGAACCTAGGCAGTTTGTGTAATTTTATTTACGTGGGTGCTTAAACAAAAATATAAAAAAATCTGAATTTACTGAGCAAAGCAAATTACTTATATACAACAATGTTCACAGTGGAGACAATATCCAAGAGCAACGCTAATTCAACGTCGAAACTATTTCAACGCTGCCGATTCAACGTCAACGACGCTGCCGATTCAACGTCAACGACGCTGCCGATTCAACGTCAACGACGCTGCCGATTCAACGTCAACGACGCTGCCGATTCAACGTCAACGACGCTGCCGATTCAACGTCAACGACGCTGCCGATTCAACGTCAACGACGCTGCCGATTCAACGTCAACGACGCTGCCGATTCAACGTCAACGACGCTGCCGATTCAACGTCAACGACGCTGCCGATTCAACGTCAACGACGCTGCCGATTCAACGTCAACGACGCTGCCGATTCAACGTCAACGACGCTGCCGATTCAACGTCAACGACGCTGCCGATTCAACGTCAACGACGCTGCCGATTCAACGTCAACGACGCTGCCGATTCAACGTCAACGACGCTGCCGATTCAACAACGCTGCTGATTCAACAACGCTGCTGATTCAACGTCAACAACGCTGCTGATTCAACGTCAACAACGCTGCTGATTCAACGTCAATGACACTGCTGATTCAACGTCAACAACGTCGAGCCAACGCCATTCTTGCAAATCGTGCCCACTGGGTAGAGAGGTTCTGTCCTTAAACAATTTGTTGATTGGATGAAATACGTCGTTGGTGTTGACAACAAAAAATCTTTCTCAAGAATTGTCTGACATGTGGGTTTGTAGATTTATATTTTTTTACAGATACTGTAATTCCTCACCTTTAAGTGATTTGAACACCAAATTATTGGAATTTGACAAAATACTTCATGCTATGTTTGTTAACATAGAAGACTCTCAAGAAATAATTTAAAGGTGATGTTAACATGGCACTTAAGTATTTTCCAAACCTAAACACACACACGATAGGTCTTGAAACTCGTGAAAAACAGCCATTCAGAGCTTTCAAATGCAATTTTCGAGCATCATTGATTTTTAACTACTGAACAATTTACTAAGTTCAGGTCATTTGAAAAACTACAAAATTCAAAAAGAATGCAGCAGAGTAATGTTAGAAAAACTTTAAACGTTGCTGCGGATTGATTTGGATAATTTTTAGATGCAATTGGTTTAGAAAATAACTAAATTTGGAAGCTAAAAAGCTGTCGACATAAAAGCCAAACTAGCAACTATTGAAAAGAGATCGGCAAATAACTAGATTATCGCAGAAAATGACGTTCCTCAGCTCTGGAATTCCATTCTTGAAACTTTTGACTGTGAAAATTTCGCAATAGCGATATTAACTCCATTTCCAATGACATATCCAAGCGAGTCATTATTGTTATCAATTCAATTCTATTTCTTTATTATGCACCCCATACCCATCCCGTGGGCGGTGGTGTAAAGGATTACAGAGGCACATAATCGGTTCAAGAACTGAACCCTCTAGTTCGTTTAGCTAAGCAAATAATCTTTTGATGCTAGTTACAAAACTATTAATGTTATATATACATATACACATACTCATGCATAATGTACATATACATAAGTATACATATATACATACACATACATATTTAATCACCCACACAAACACACATACCTAGTTAAACACAAGACAAAGTTAGAGAAGATTCAGCGGTATGCCACCAGGCTCGTCCCGGAACTGAGAGGAATGAGCTACGAAGAAAGGCTAAAGGAGCTGAACCTCACATCCCTGGAAAACAGAAGAGTAAGAGGAGACATGATAACCACCTACAAAATCCTCAGGGGAATTGACAGGGTGGACAAAGACAAACTCTTCAGCACGGGTGGGACACGAACAAGGGAACACAACCCAAATGAGTCACAGAGACGTAAGAAAGAATTTTTTCAGTGTCAGAGTAGTTAATAAATGGAATGCACTAGGAAGAGATGTGGTGGAGGCTGACTCCATACACAGTTTCAAATGTAGATATGATAGAGCCCAGTAGGCTCAGGAATCTGTACACCAGTTGATTGACAGTTGAGAGGAGGGACCAAAGAGCCAAAACTCAACCCCCGCAAGCACAATTAGGTGAGTACACACATCAATAATCTTTTGTGTCACAAGTGATTCAACAAGAGGCTCACAACAGTCACTATACAAGGCACTTTACATCTATGATGAATCACACAGTTACTCATCTTGCTCCACACCCACCCAACTGGGCGGCAGCTTTACAGTCATGTGCATGCATTACTTACAGTAAGCAAATTTTGGATACTTTGCTAAGATTTCGGCCAGCACATCATTATGAATGAAGTACTTACACATTTCAGTGATGAACTTTGTCAAAGTCTATAGATGTAGATTTACTGATGACACTAGCACTAAATACACAGCTCTCAAAACAACTAAATAAAACTATACAAGCCTTATATAAAATATTCCATTGTTGCAATTGCAACAAAAGCCTCACAAGGGAAGAATATGCTTATTTTCCTTTCCTAGGCTTTTTTTTATTTTATAATATAAACAAAAGATTATCTCATGTTCACATTTCTCTGTTGCTTTTAAGATACAATAACACTACTATTACTTTTCAATTGTCTTTTAAATATATTAAACAAATTTGAACAGGACATCTAAAAATCTTTAAATTTATTTGAATGTCTCCGTTATACTTTAATAATAAAACAACGAATACACGTAAATAAGCAACAGGACTCGAACTTTTTTTTATTAACAAAAAAATATATTGTAAATTTATAGTTTCCGTGTGCACAAGTACGGTAATTGTCAGGGAAAACTGCTAAGTCAGTATGACAACATGGCACTTGGGAGGGGTATGAGGACAAGGAGCTAGGATAGGACCGAAGGTATGATGCCCAACCATTTAGACCCTTGGGGATCGAAGAGTAGCCTGCAAGAAGCCAGACCAACGCTGTACCAACCAGTCCAACTGGATGGGTAAATAATGTTAATTTAATAATGTGTGCTTACCTTGTCACTGAAGTTCTCAGAGCTGGTTCATCTGTATCGTTCCGGTGTCCTTGTACAGTTACGGTGTCCCTGTACAGCTACGGTGTCCCTATACAGCTACGGTGTCCCTGTACAGCTACGCTGTCCACGTACAGTTACGGTGTCCCTGTACAGTTCCGGTGTACGTGGGTACTCCAAGTTTCATTTTTTCGGCCATTGTTCGTGCCAATACAACAATCCCAACACCTGAGAGTTCACCCATATACCCTTAATTAATTAACCAAAGAATCGAATATCTCATGATAGTAGCGAAATAAAGCAATCGCTTTCTTCCATATATCGTCAGTCTTATTTGTAAATATCCCTTTAAATCAATAATATAATAATCCGCACCACACACCTGACGACCGCACCTCCCGCGCCACACAACCAGACGACACTGAACTCACAACTGAAATGTCCGAACGTTTCTGTGCTTCACACCGTTCGAATCGCATCTCTAAATGCTTCACGTATAAATACAATAATTTGCAAACAGAACAAAAACATCTAGTTTTAACTTATCTGGGTGCTATGCACAAAATTAAAATATATATTGTTAATTTATATTGGAGTGGACAGCAGTTTTGGATGCACATGACGTTAACAATTAATGAATGCGCTGCAGCTTGGACAAAAGACTGAAGCAAAATTCACCTCTTCATTTATTTATCTCTCAAGGAAGAAGGAATGCATGCAAATATAATGCAACGCCGTGTTCAAGTTAAATATTCACCGCTAAAAGTATCGCTTGAGGCTTGTCACTTCATACTATTTGGTGTGAATTAATTTGAATAGGAATCGCAGGACACGCGGGAAAATTCGACAGCCTAGCTCAGTAAAAGTGTTGCCCGCCCTCAGGCTGTGTTCCATTCCTTGCAAGGTTTGTTTTCATATATGGAATCTAAATTTATCTATTTTCCAATATGTTATGAAACAATGTTGTTTCCGCCTCCACGGCGGTGACGGAAACAAATGGGCAGGGTTTCTTTCACCCTGATACTCTGTTCACCTAGCATGATATAGGTATCTAGGAGTTAGACATCTGCTATAGGCTGCTTCCTGGAGATGTGTGTGTGTGAAAAATAGAATTAAGGACTTGCCCGAAATGCTATGTGTGCTTGTTGCTGTACAAGAATGTCAGAACTCTTGCATATATAAATAAATGCATAAATAAAAATAAAAACATTGTCCTAGGGACAGGTCCTGTTTTATTTAATGTATTGTTTTGTGTCAGCACAGAATCGAAAAGTTCAACGCCGAGCGACATAGATTATGAGGTATTGAAAAGGGCATTAAATTCAGCCACTCAGATCAGAACAGCCAAAAGAAACAAATCCACAAGGGCCGTGACGAGGGTTCGAACCTACGTCCGCGAGGATCCCGGACACTGCCTTAATCGACTGAGCTACGACATGATAACATAATTGCAACCGGGAAATCATCCTGATCTATAGCGGATCCTGCAGCCTCTCCGAGACACAAACCAGGGTTTTACGCAATTCCCCCCATGCACCCGAGCTCTGCCAATAGGCTGTTCCGCCTCTTCGTCCTTACTTCATTACACACAGATATCACTGCCCAGACGTTGCCTTACGTCCAAGAGGGATCCTCTCGGACGTAGGTTCGAACCCTCGTCACGGCCACTGTGGATTTATTCATTTGATGCATCACGCTATTGTGATTTGTGTGTGTAGCCAAAAGAAACTACGAAAATAAACGCCCATAATATAAAGAAAGAGCCAAAGTCGGTCTATGTCTACATAAGAAGTAAAACCAAAACAAATGTCTCGGTAGGACCATTAAAAGATGAGACTAACCAAGTTATAATGGATGATAAGAGGGCAGCAAACACTTTGAATGAATACTTTACATCAGAGTTCACACTAGAAACATTAGACGACATCCCATTACCCACACACATGTTTGAGGGAATTGAAGAGAACGAATTAAGGGATATACCCAAAATGTGCGACACAGGAAGAGAAATGACAAAGTAACATAGTTCAAAAGCCCCAGGTGTAGACGGAATTCAATCCAAGGTGGTAAAGGAACTGGCAGATAAACTGTGCCAACCACTGAAACTCCTTTTCAGAAAATCTCTGGACCAAGGGATAGTTCCTCTCGATTGGAAATATGCAAATGTCATCCCAATTTTCAAAAAATGGCAGAAAGAGCTAGGCAGAAAACTAACGTCGGATCAGCTTGACATCACACATCTGCAAGCTCATGGAGAGAATTAAGGGAGGGAATCATTCACTAACTCAGAATGAACAAATTGTAAAATCAACGTAACATGGGTTTGTTACACACAGAAATCACAATGGCGTGATGCAGCAAATGAACAAATCCACAAGGGCCTATTTACATAGGCCTTTGAACGGCCTATTGACATAGCTCGAGTGCATGGGGGAGTTGTGTAAAACCCTGGTTTGTGCCTCAGAGAGGCTGCAGAATCCAGTAAGTTCAGTAGAACTTCGGTTTCAACTCTTTTTGACCATGTCGTAGCTCAGTCGATTAAGGCAGCGTCTGGGATGCTCCCGGACGTAGATTCGAATCCTCGTCACGGCCCTTGTGGATTTGTTCATGGGTTTGTTACAAACAGATCCTGCCTTACAAACCTGCTCACATTTTTGGAAAGGGTAACCAGCTATTCAGGAAAAAGGATTTCCAGTAGATGCAGTTTACTTGGTCTTTGCTAAAGCTTTTGATAAGGTATCACTTGAAAGACTTTCAAAGAAATTACAGGCACATGAAATAAATGGTAGAATACAAGAATGGATTAAACAAGGGTTAAAGTAAAGAAAACAAAGGATCGTGCTAAATGGATAAGAATTTGACTGGAGAAGTTAGTGAGGGGTACAGCAGGGGTCCATTATGGGCCAACCCTTTTGGTCGTATACATCATTGACATAGATGAGCATATTACAAACCACATCACCATATTTGCAGATAAAACTAAGATTTATGGTAACGTGGGAAGTGAAAATTATATTGAGATAGACGAAGAGTCACAATAACGTGGCTGAAAATATGATGACCAAACTACACATCAGAAGATGAAGAAACGATGACGTTTCGGTCCGTCCTGGACCGAAACGACTTGATAATGGTTCCAGGATGGACCGTCGTCGTTTCTTTATATTGTGATGTGTAGTTTGGTCATCATGATACTGAGGCCTTACAAATAGATCTACATGAACTCAACATATAGTGAAAAAATTAGCAAAGGCTTTTTAGTATCGATAAATGAATTACCTTGCATGTGAGGCATTACAATCCACGTCACAGCTACCAAATTAACAGCTTTACCTTTTGCCATTATTACAACTGGTATGGGACTATACTTGCCTATCCCCCCCCTGGCAACCACATACATTGGCCAAACAGGACCCGTGGCGACAGCGTAAGAGACAAGTCAACCAAGTACGGGAAAATAGATCACCGGTACAACTTTGTTCCTATAGGATTCGAGACCCCCTTGATCCATGGGGAGAGAGTGCAAGTAGGTATCTTAAAGTTCTTGGTTCCAGGTTCATTGAAACAACAAGAGACCCCTCGAGCGGCATGTTTACTCTTCCAGCGCCTCAGTGTAGCGATCCAGAGGGGGAATGCCCGCTGCGTCCTTAATTTGTTCCTGCCCGGCGTCGAAGGAGTTCGAAGAATTCTACAGCCTCTAGGATACAAACTTTCCTTTATTTCCTCTTAATGTCCACTTTTTGTAACCAATCAGATATGTAACTGTGTAACCTTGTATAATAAAGTGTACGACACAAATAATAAAAAAGGGGTGGTAGAAGTGAATACTCATACGTATTTAGAGTTAAATGGCAAGTTTTCTCTGAATGCTCTGTATTCCCTTCTCCGAGGCTATGGGTCTCTTTATCCCACTATCACCGTGGCTATATGATGTATAATAACAACTTGTCATTGAATTATGTGTTTTATAATGACATATTTCTAATATTAGGACATTGGCAATAACTGGAATATTATAATCTGCCTGTTTTATATAGTAGTAAGAAAGCACTACTTCTTGTTTCATTACCTATTTTTTGTTAACCATCTTGGGTGTACACAGCAATGTGTTGTTACGCTCTTCTATATGAAGGATTACAGAGTGTAGACCAGAAACTAGCTATGAGTTCATCTAATATTCCCATCTCACAGGATGGTTATTTATATATATAGAATAAAGGGAGAGCGTGAAATGCGAGTCTAATCCATTAGTCTGCGCTAGCAAAGGCTGGAAATATATATGTTGCACATGGTTGATACCTGGTACATCCTTCGCGATGGTGTCATGATAAGTTATGTGATGGTGACTGCGATGAGTGTGGTGGTGCTATTGCAACGACCGTAGAGAAAATGCAACTAGAAAACTTGAATTACAAGTTACGATTATCTGACATGACAGACAAAGCCGTGAATAGGCTGCCGGGGTGCTGTTGTCCTATTCTAGAGTCAATGAGCTCATGTCCTCTGGTGTAAACATGAAATGCGTCCACATGCTTGCCTGGGTAAGTGATCTTGTCCTAGGCACCTGACCTGACTCCCCCCCTCTCTCTCCGTTTCATATTTCAGAATAAGGTCGTGACGGTGGACGGGTCAAAGGTGAAACTTCAGATCTGGGACACTGCAGGTCAAGAACGTTTCCGAAGTGTCACCCACGCTTACTACAGGGATGCCCATGGTAGGTATAGTGCCTCTTTACATTGTTATTTGTGCTTCAATCTCACTGTAGCCATGCACTATCGCTTTGTACAAAGCCGGCATCTATAGAAGAATCCTATTGTACATTTCGTGCCGTTTCAGTTACAGTGAGCACATTAGTACAGGCCTAAGACTAGTATATTAAGTCTATATAATGGATTGTGTCGGGGGACAGGCAACCAGTATAAATATATATATATATATATATATATATATATATATATATATATATATATATATATATATATATATATATATATATATATATATATATATATATGTCGTACCTAGTAGCCAGAACTCACTTCTCAGCCTACTATTCAAGGCCCGATTTGCCTAATAAGCCAAGTTTTCCTGAATTAATATATTTACTATAATTTTTTTCTTATGAAATGATAAAGCAACCCTTTTCTCTATGTATGAGGTCAATTTTTTTTTATTGGAGTTCAAATTAACGTAGATATATGACCGAACCTAACCAACCCTACCTAACCTAACCTAACCTATATTTATAGGTAAGGTTAGGTTAGGTAGCCAAAAAAAGCTAGGTTAGGTTAGGTTAGGTAGGTTAGGTAGACGAAAAAACATTAATTCATGAAAACTTGGCTTATTGGGCAAATCGGGCCTTGAATAGTAGGCTGAGAAGTGCGTTCTGGCTATTAGGTACGACATATATATATATATATATATTATTAAATATGACCGAAAAAGTAAGATTAATAATTCTAACACGAATTTTCTCAATCTTTCGTACATTACGCTTCACTGTTGGAGGTAAATCAAAAATCACTTCTCCAAAATTCATTTTTATTTCTAGTCTGACGCGACACGGGCGCGTTTCGTAAAACTTATTACATTTTCAAAGACTTCACAAATACACAACTGATTAGAACGTATCTCTGATTTTATATCTACATTTGAGTGAGGTGGGAAGGGTGATGTGGCATTAACACAAGACAGAACAGGAGGGGATATTAATAGGGTATTAAAAGTATCAACACAAGACAGAACAGAAACAATGGGTATTGAATAGAAGTGTTTGTAGAAAGCCTATTGGTCCATATTTCTTGATGCTTCTATATTGGAGCGGAGTCTTGAGGTGGGTAGAATATAGTTGTGCAATAATTGGCTGTTGATTGCTGGTGTTGACTTCTTGATGTGTAGTGCCTCGCAAACGTCAAGCCGCCTGCTATCGCTGTATCTATCGATGATTTCTGTGTTGTTTACTAGGATTTCTCTGGCGATGGTTTGGTTATGGGAAGAGATTATATGTTCCTTAATGGAGCCCTGTTGCTTATGCATCGTTAAACGCCTAGAAAGAGATGTTGTTGTCTTGCCTATATACTGGGTTTTTTGGAGCTTACAGTCCCCAAGTGGGCATTTGAAGGCATAGACGACATTAGTCTCTTTTAAAGCGTTCTGTTTTGTGTCTGGAGAGTTTCTCATGAGTAGGCTGGCCGTTTTTCTGGTTTTATAGTAAATCGTCAGTTGTATCCTCTGATTTTTGTCTGTAGGGATAACGTTTCTATTAACAATATCTTTCAGGACCCTTTCCTCCGTTTTATGAGCTGTGGAAAAGAAGTTCCTGTAAAATAGTCTAATAGGGGGTATAGGTGTTGTGTTAGTTGTCTCTTCAGAGGTTGCATGGCTTTTCACTTTCCTTCTTATGATGTCTTCGATGAAACCATTGGAGAAGCCGTTATTGACTAGGACCTGCCTTACCCTACAGAGTTCTTCAACTCTGTGAAAGTTCTTTCACTATATATATATATATATATATATATATATATATATATATATATATATATATATATATATGTCGTACCTAGTAACCAGAACGCACTTCTCAGCCTACTATGCAAGGCCCGATTTGCCTAATAAGCCAAGTTTTCATGAATTAATTGTTTTTCGACTACCTAACCTACCTAACCTAACCTAACCAAACTTTTTCGGCTACCTAACCAAACCTAACCTACAAAGATAGGTTAGGTTAGGTTAGGTAGGGTTGGTTAGGTTCGGTCATATATCTACGTTAATTTTAACTCCAATAAAAAAAAATTGACCTCATACATAATGAAATGGGTAGCTTTATCATTTCATAAGAAAAAAATTAGAAAAAATATATTAATTCAGGAAAATTTGGCTTATTAGGCAAATCGGGCCATGCATTAGTAGGCCAAAAAGTGAGTTCTGGCAACTAGGTACGACATATATATATATATATATATATATATATATATATATATATATATATATATATATATATATATATATATATATATATATATATATATATATATATATATATATATATATATATATATGTATGTATGTATGTTAGGCTTATATCGGCGTCGTCTCCGAAGGTCGAACTACTGACCCTTCCCAGGATGCAACCCCACAACAAGCTGACTAACTCCTGGGCACCCACCTGGCCAGGTGGACAGGTGCATTAGGTGATAGGAAACGCGTCCAACTTTTTCTATTCCTCCTCCAGGATTCGAACCCGAAATTCCAGATTTTGAGTCGAGAACGAACCCGAAAGTAACATCGAATGTATTTCAGTTTAATTGGATTCCATAGCTGTCCTGTGTTTTTTTTTTCCAAAGTCGAACTGGATGGCCTTCGCTGAATATTTGCGTTAGCTGGAATGTGGTTATAAGGATAAAGACTGAAGGATCGATTCCCGAACTTTTCAGTTCCTTGCCATGTCCTTTTCAAGATTATTTTATCATGCTGGTTTTGCGCCTTCTCATCATTATTGAGCCTGTCTTCAGAGCAAATATTTTGCCATGAGAAACCATGCACACCCGTTTTCAAACTGCTTTGATAGTTATCTAGATACTTGGATAGTTATGATGATATAAGAGCATATTACCATTCCAGTAATAGTCTACATGTAAACTTTGTCCTGAATAAAGATTATCATCAAGTTATAACTTTATTGTATTATATATAGTTGGTTTAAAATATAGAGTATATGCTGAAAAATATTTTCTTTTAAAAATTAGGTTTTCTGTAAACGGAATTCTCGGGTACAATAAAACAGTTTTTTGAATTCTATATTTCACATTATCATCAGTAATAGCTCATACTGACATAACCCAACGTAATGAAACCTAACCTAGTCAAACCTTAACCTAACCATGGATTGAGAGTAGATAATAGCACTAATTATGTAGTCGTTCTCAATCCATTCCCATGAGCAGATTTCCTCCCTGAGGACAGATTGCATTATTTCAATTACCCTAATCACACTTGCACCATAGAACTGAGGTTAATGTATTTCGACAGCGGATAATATATTAACTCTTCATTCTCTCCTACCCACTGTCAGTTAAGTCACACCAGGTTTCGTTATCAGATTCATTTTATTTTTTATTCAAGTCCAAATTAGGAATGAGCTTCACTGTTGAATCCTCTTGATGGTCATCAATGACAAAGAAGCGTTCTCTTACTGTAGAGACGTTATCTTAATTCTATTACTTAAATTTTGAAAGCAGACCGAACAAATTTATACATTGTTGACTTTAAATTATGTTTGAATGTTTCATGAAAAGAATTTCAGATACCGGTATTGATAAAAAACTAATTTTAAATCATTTATGCTGATGAATAAACTTTAGGGAATATAAAAGTGCACCAATATGATCTTCATTTCTTCGGCGCTCACGTGTTAGCTCAAACAAGACATAAGAAGTTTCTTCTGTATACAAGAAGAGGATTTACTATACCCAGCAAGAAGATTTCTGATTTGCATTTATATTACCTTGAGTTCCTCTGATAGAATAGTGAGTGTGTTGTTTCAAGGTAATTTTAGGAGTTTGACATGCGAGCTTGAACTCCTTAACATCGTTGTGAGGTGATTGGCAGGATTCTTGGTCTTTTATTCCTGATTATAGGGACCTTGTGGCTCCAGCAACTTTCCCACTCCAATGACCACCCGACTCCAGCGACCACCTGACTCTAGCGACCATTTTTCTCCAGCGATCACCTCACTCCAATGACCCCCTGACTCCAACGATCTCCACAGTCTTGCTGCCACCTGACTCCAGCGAACACTATATTCTAGCAACCACCTCACTCCAGCCACCAACATTTGCAGCTTCAGTAGCATGTTTTAACGAAAATTGAAAATAAATACTTGAGTAGATTTTACAATAATTAGTTTTGTCCGGGACAAGAAGCCTGTGGATTTATACTTTTGGTTTGCATCTAAGCCCCCCCCCCCTCCACCCAACGTCGAACTACTGACCTTCCCCAGGATGCAACCCCCTCAACATCTGTTTATCTCAGCGGGCTCCTATTCTGCAAGTAGAGCAGAATCAGAGTTTCTCACATGATTCATTTCGCAACTTTCTGCGTCTTTGGCTTCGGGACACAAAAATTAATCTCTTCCCGCCCCTGCACTTTTCTGAGCTTGGTGAAGGACAGGGAAGATCCACTGAAGGATTAGAGTAATCCACTGAGGTACAGGAATGATCTACTGAGGGACAGGAATGATCCACTGAGGAACAGGAATGATCCTCTTGGAGACTAGAAGGGTCCAATATGGGCCAAGAAAGATCCTATAAGAGGCAGGAAGGATCCACTGAGGGCGAAGAAGGATCCCCTTAGGAAGAGGAAGGATCCACTTAGGGACAGGCATGATCCACTGAGAGACACATCTTTTAAGAGGCAGGAAGGATCCACCGAGGGACAGGTAGAATCCCCCGAGGGGCAGTTAGGATCCACTAATGAATTATATATTGCTGGGAATAAGCAGGGACCACGAGCACTTGACAAGTTACAGGTATAGATATTTGAGTACAGTATTTAATTATATTTGTAAATTTTAATTTATGAACTTCATAGAGCTATACTGTGCATTTGTGCTGGTTTAGTGCTACTTTTTTATTTAATCTCCCTAATGCTATTAAAGTGTATATATTTATCATTACTGTTTGTCTTATTCCAAGTTCCAGCTGGAAGTGGGTACTAGCAGTACTATATAGAGCTGTGGTACTAGCAGCACTATATAGAGCTGTGGTACTAGCAGTACTATATAGAGCTGTGGTACTAGCAGTACTATATAGAGCTGTGGTACTAGCAGTACTATATAGAGCTGTGGTACTAGCAGTACTATATAGAGCTGTGGTACTAGCAGTACTATATAGAGCTGTGGTACTAGCAGTACTATATAGAGCTGTGGTACTAGCAGTACTATATAGAGCTGTGGTACTAGCAGTACTATATAGAGCTGTGGTACTAGCAGTACTATATAGAGCTGTGGTACTAGCAGTACTATATAGAGCTGTGGTACTAGCAGTACTATATAGAGCTGTGGTACTAGCAGTACTATATAGAACTGTGGTACTAGCAGTACTATATAGAGCTGTGGTACTAGCAGTACTATATAGAGCTGTGGTACTAGCAGTACTATATAGAGCTGTGGTACTAGCAGTACTATATAGAGCTGTGGTACTAGCAGTACTATATAGAGCTGTGGTACTAGCAGTACTATACAGAGCTGTGGTACTAGCAGTACTATTCTACAGAGCTGTGGTACTAGCAGTACTATACAGAGCTGTGGTACTAGCAGTACTATTCTACAGAGCTGTGGTACTAGCAGTACTACTCTACAAAGCTGTGGTACTAGGAGTACTACTCTACAGAGCTGTGATACTAGCAGTACTACTCTACAGAGCTGTGGTACTAGCAGTACTACTCTATAGAGCTGTGGTACTAGCAGTACTCTATAGAGCTGTGGTACTAGCAGTACTACTCTACAGAGCTGTGGTACTAGCAGTACTACTTTATAGAGCTGTAGTACTAGCAGTACTACTTTACAGAGCTGTGGTACTAGCAGTACTGCTCTATAGAGCTGTGGTACTAGCATAACTAGTGCCTTTATATAATAAACAATAATTGTACTCACTATGGAACCACTTTAGCCTGTCCAATATATTGTCTGGTGTATAAATTATTATTATTATTATTATTATTATTATTATTATTATTATTATTATATTTTTAGTACTATATTATTATTGTTATTGACGTGTTACAGCTAATGCAATACCTGTAGCACTGTTCTTTTCTTTTCTCAGCACTGCTATTACTCTATGATGTGATGAACAAGAACAGTTATGATAACACGAGGGCGTGGTTGGCCGAGGTTCACGAATACGCCCAAGATGATGTGGTTATTATGCTCATTGGTAAGTGGGTAGGACAGGTAAGTGGGCGGGACAGGCAACTGGGTGGGTAAAGTGAGTGGGTGGGACAGGCGAGTGGGTGGGACAGGCGAGTGGGTGGGACAGGCGAATGGGTGGGACAAGCGAATGGGTGGGACAGGTAAGTGGATAGGACATGTGAGTGGGTTGGGCAGGCAATTGGGTGGGTGAGTGGGTGGGGCAGGCGAGTGGGTGGGACATGCAAATGGGTGCAACAGGTGAGTGGGACAGGCGAATGGGTGGGACAGGCGAGTGGGTGGGACAGGTGAGTGGGTGCAACAGGCAAGTAAGTAATTATCAAAGAAGGCACCAAACCGAGAAGGTTATGTAGCACCATCAAATGTGCGGGATAATCAGAGGGCGCTAAATATCACCAAGGACGTCAATACGAGAACAGAAACGCATAAGGGGAACGATATCAAAAGTATCCGAGGCACCAAGAATACTATCGAGAGACAAGCGACCGCGGGGGACGGTCGGAAAGCAAGACACACGCTCGTCCCAGAAGTCAGGACATTCAACAAGGATATGCATGACCGTAAGAGGGACAATGCAATTAGGACAATAAGGAGCAGGGCGGCGCTCCATCAAGTGACCATGAGTTAAGCGAGTATGGCCAATACGCAACCTCGCCAGAGCCATTTCCCATCGCCGGTTATGGTGGTAGGAGGACAGCCACGAGGACACACAACCTTTAAGAGAACGTAGTTTGTTACCAGTAACAGACGACCAACAAGCCTGCCAACGGGTAAGGATGGAGGAATGGATAACCGGGTAAAAGTCGGAATAAGGAATACCTTTACGAGAGATGGGACAAGAGCGGACAGCTTCCTTGGCGGCAGCATCCGCATGCTCATTTAAAGAGACATCAATATGGCTGGGAACCCAACAAAACTCAACTGACTTAAATTTACTGTGAACAAAAAACAACCAATGCTGGATCTCGACAACCACTGGATGAACCGGATTAAAGGACCCAAGAGCCATGAGGGCACTACGAGAGTCAACAACTACAAAGGAAGATTGAGCAGGAGACAAAGAGCAGTGCAATAGGCAAAGTGGGTGCAACAGGTGAGTGGGACAGGCAAGTGGGTGCAACAGGTGAGTGGATGGGACAGGTGATAGAGAAACACATGTAAGAATATTGATCATTACACGTGAGTAGAGGGACAGATAAGTAGATGCAGGCATAAATTTTATCGAAGTGAGGTGATTCGATAAAATAACTATGCCCAAGATTACCATCAAAGTGCCGTCAGGATGATGAGCAAATAGCCTCGGCTACCATCATCTTTTGTACGGTCATTGATGATCGAGTGGTTAAGGTCTCCTGTACACCAGTTGCATAGTGCTCCTGGCAGTCTGGGGTTCGAGTTACTTCTGGGGTGTGGGGTTTTCATTCGCATATATGCTTGGGGACCACTCAAACTTGTTCGCATTTGTGTTGCTCACGTGGCCCCATAAAAAAAGGTAATTTGATGAAAAGTTATGCCCGGAATTACCATCAAAGTGCCATCGGGGTGATGGTTCAAATAGCCTCGGCTATCACCACTTTTTGTACCGTCACTGATGATCGAGTGGTTTAAGGCACTGTGTACACCAGTTGCAATATGCTCCTGGGGGTCCGAGTTTGAGTCACTTCTGGGTTGTGGAGTTTTCATATTATATATATATATATATACTGTATATATATGACAATGTCAGACCACGAAGGAAGAACCGAAACAGGAATTTCCTTAAGTACTTTCGCATTTAATAATACATCTTCAGAAGGATTATTAAATACGAAAGTACTTAAGGAAATACCTGTTTCAATTCTTCCTTCGTGGTTTGACAATGTCACATTTTTCATCACGTGTTAATTTTCGTGATTTACACACACACGAATATTGTGCGAGGAGCCTATGCCACGCTTTCTAACTTCAGAATTGCTTTTAAATACATGGATGGCGATATACTAAAGAAATTGTTCACGACTTTTGTTAGGCCAAAGCTAGAATATGCAGCAGTTGTGTGGTGCCCATATCTTAAGAAGCACATCAACAAACTGGAAAAGGTGCAAAGACATGCTACTAAGTGGATCCCAGAACTGAAGGGCAAGAGCTACGAAGAGAGGTTAGAGGCATTAAATATGCCAAAACTGGAAGACAGAAGAAAAAGAGGTGATATGATCACTACATATAAAATAGTAACAGGAATTGATAAAATCGATAGGGAATCAGTTCCAGGTCCTGAGACCTGGAACTTTAAGAACAAGAGGTCATAGATATAAACTAGCTAAACACAGATGCCGAAGAAATATAAGAAAATTCAATTTCGCAAACAGAGTGGTAGACGGTTGGAACAAGTTAGGGGAGAAGGTGGTGGAGGCCAAGACCGTCAGTAGTTTCAAAGCGTTATATAACAAAGAGTGCTGGGAAGACGGGACACCACGAGCGTAGCTCTCATCCTGTAACTACACTTAGGTAATTACACACATAAATACATAATGTGTGTGAGGAGGGCGGCCGAGCTACTAACCTTCTGTAGGGTGCAACTCCACAATGATTGCCTATTTCCCAAGTACTAGTACCTGTTTACTGCTAGGTGAACAGAGTCATTAGGCAAAAGGAATCATACCCAACCATATCTATCCTGCCTGAGAATCAAACCTAGGATTACCAATTGTGAGCCAAGAACAAACCCAACTGTACTGCAAGATCCTCTGTTCCCGACATTTTGGAAACCGGATGTGGCTAATGGTTTCGACAAGCCATTAGCTTCCTGTCCCTATTGAGGCCACTAGATAGTGGCTTAAATGTAAATAAAGGGATGAACTATTTAATATTGGTTGTATCTATAGTTACCATCATTCAATCATTTAGTTTATTTCATGTATAGTAAGAACAGTTATTTTAATAAATCGTGCTCATCCCCTAATCTCTCTAAGTCTCCTTCAGGCTTCAAGTCCTTAATACTTATGTTTGCAAATGCCTATGAAAGCTGACAAGCAATTTTCATGCAGGAAGTGAAAGTAATTAGATCAATATACCTTTCCTGACCATTCCGTGAGTGCAATGCTGACATTGTAGGTACAGTACAATATTCATGTATATTTTTAATGAAACCATTAATTATAGGCAGCATTTTAGGCAGAACTAAACATTAATATGTTCCACTCCTTCAGGTAATAAGTGTGATGTAAACGGGGAGCGTGTAGTGAGGAGAGAGGATGGGGAGCGGCTGGCAAGGGAGTACAATGTGGCCTTTATGGAGACCTCGGCGAAAACAGGCCTTAATGTCGATCTTGCCTTTATGGCTGTTGCCAGGTGGGTGTTGGTGAGGTTGTGTGGTGTTACTATCAAAATAAAATGCCAAGCCTGGAAGGCTATATAGCACCATAAATCATTGTAGAATAAACAGAAAATTATATAATAATTTTTTTGTTTGCACCATAGAGAGCTGAAGGCAAGGAAATCCAATAACCCCAATGATCGGAAATTCAACGTGGCAGACTATGTCCGTCAGGAAGCCAAGACAGAAGCCTGTCTCTGTAATGTGGGCTAGCTGCATGACCCTGTGGTCACAAGAACAAAATAAGAAATCCAGGATTTGGATATTCCCATTACATGTCAGAAATGTACCTACAAGCAACACACTGCTTTATTTGGAGAGACATGTCAAATCCTCAGGCAGTGATGCATGTGCTGCTACAGGCTGGAAATCCCAGTTTGTAGCATACCAAGTGTGAAGGTCTTAATTCAGAGTAGGATGCGGAGCATCAGTGATGTGTTCCGATAGTGGTAGTGGCAGTTGTCCTGAGTGTAAGTAATTATCAAAAGGTGCCGCCAAACTCCAAAAGCTATAGCATAGTGCTGGGCAGGAGGAACACACAGGTTATAGAGAGATTAAATGTCTCTCCACCCCTGTTGTGACTTGATATCTTGACTGGAATTTTTTCACATTCATGCCAGTGGGTGTTTGTACCTTCTAAACACATACATGAACATACATAAATACACACACACACACACACCATGCTCTTGTGGTGAACACTGTGTTCAATTAGTGAAACACAAGTAATACTTGATAATGGACTCGTCAGAATACCTAACAGTGATTAAGGTCTTATAAACAATATGTAGATGCAAAGCAATTTAAGATTAGCAGAAGTGTTGCAATTATTTAACAACTGGTTATGGCATTGAAAACACGTTACATGGCTGCTGAACTGAGCTTCAAATTTTGATCAATGATCATGATATATTGTATATTAAATGAACCTAGGTGTACAGGATGTTTTTCCGACAAGAAAATACTTAAGTCATACACTAAACCCCATGTTCCTCAGTGAAAGCCTTCATAACAGTTGTAGTTGGTGCTATATGTTACACAGCATTTAAAATTATTGACAAACCTTTTCATGCATTCAGTATTTTACTTCGGAAAACAGCACATTAAGCTTAGAAATGGTTAATAATAAACTATTATTCTATTGAGACGAGCTGATGGGATTAACCAATCTTTGTAAATGACTTAATAAAAATGTAAACTAAATTATCATTTATACGTATAATAAATGTTAAGGTTTTGCAGACTCAATAAATGTGAATTAAAATGCCCATTAATATATGCTGTATATACTAATGCATAAAAAATATATAGCACATTCAGGATAAATACCAAAAATAGTTGTCAGCAATTTAAATTATTTTTAACAAAACACAGCAGAATTGATTAATAAGGTTGTTTAGATTTCACCACATCCTTTGAATTTACTAAAAGCCTTTCAAAAGTTAACTTAACTTCATGCATAATTTTAATTACATCTTTTGAAAACATGCTGAACTACTACTACTACTACTACTGATACAACCTGTCCTCTTACAAATTACGTCTGACTTTGACCATTTGTCCGTATGGCCGAAAATGGACGTAATTTGAAATTAAAAAAATGAAAATAAATTTGGAATTTTTTTTCCAAAATAGTAAGTTAAGGGTCCTCTGGTAGGTTAGGAGGGTAAGAAATTCTCATAAAGTTTCAAAACGTCATGAAAACATTATTTCAAAGTTTCCTCTCCTAACTTTTCATGTAAGCCGGAGGACTTGAACAGAAAACGGGACAGTACATCACTTTCGTGAGTCGATTTCATTTCAAATTACATCCATTTTTGGCCATAGTGCGCATATAAGCAAAAAGCGACATTATTTTTAAGAGGACAGATTGACTGACAAGTCCTCCAATGCTTGGGTTGTAAATGAATTCTCACATTAAATAAAAAAAAAAATTGTTCTTTTAAGGTCTATGTTTCATAATCTGGAGTGCACAGTCAGTACTGTACATAAACTGGAGTGTAACATAATCTAAGTTTTACAGTACGTACATAATCTGGAGTATATAATTCTAAAACATGCAGATATATACAATTAAAAGTCATATTCTTATTGTAGCCACATGCAAATTAATGCTGCAAGACAAGAACCTACATTTGCACAATGGTTATGTGATGTTGCAACAGACTTACGGAGCCCAAAATAAATACTGTACAGAAACCAAGAATACTTCTCCCCAACAATTATTTTCCATTGTAAAACCTTGTTTGTCTCTAGGCGAGAAATAATCCTTCACATGCCCCGGCTACAAAAGTTTTATTTATTATCTGGTATTTGGCTTTCAGACATCTGTTAATGTAGATTAATCAAACAACTATGATTGTTGACATACTCTGTGAATCTTAGTTCTTGCTTAGTACTGTACATGTCATTACTACCCTTTCCTGGAAGTAATGAAAATAAGTTTTATTGTTCTAAAGACAAAATTTAATGACATGTATACTCCAAGGTTGCAAAACCTGAATTTTTGTTTAAAAAATTTAGTTTACTAATTTGACAACCAACTCAGAAATTTTCATTCTGATGTAAGAATCACACTCATCTGCTCACTAATGCTCACTCACAATGTGAAACACGCTGATAAACTCAATTAACTTTAGAATAATGTTAAATATGGTCTGATAAGCATGTACTGATGCAAGACTGAAAAGGGAATGCACTACAAGTTAATCTAGTTCAGAAATGTTTCAATATTTCAAAAGTATACTTTCACAAGTTTTTCATTGAATGTAGAGTAGTATTAAATAAACAATGAAAGGATATGACCTACAGGGAGTAAAAAAAATGTTTTACTGTATTTTTTTAAAAACTTATTAATTATATTAAAGGAAACAATTATGCAGTTGCATGTAGACATATATTGTCTCAAGTTACTATTCACGTTCACCGGTTAAAATGGAATGACTTCATATTTTAATTGATTTTTTACATGTGTGGGGATGTATGTATTGTAATACTGCTTTTTTTTTTATTAGATAGGCTTTGCTTTGGGTAGTCTGGAAAGGCTATGCCTAAATAAGCCAGAGAAGCATTATACCCTGGTTAGGCTGGAGAGGGGCTATGCCTTAGAAAGGTTAGGAAACATTCAACATGCTTTACTATGAATTTGTAATTATACTGCGATATAATGGCTAGATATCAGGTTGTGATTGCTTAAAAAGTTGTATTCTGTTATACAGTATTTTAAAATGTACAGTACTGTATATGTTTAAAATTTATAGGTTGCTATCAAGTTGAAAGTGCTCACACGCTCTCTTTTGTTTTCATTTATGTATACAAGCATTCTTACATTCTTGTAAAGCCACTAGCACTAGACATTTCAGGCAGGTCCTTAATCCTAATTTACCCTGGAATACAACCTGCCAAATCGTTTAACAACCAGATACCCATTCACCGCTGGGTGAACAGAGGTTACAGTTAAGGATTGGCGCCCAGTCAATTCTACCCAGCCAGGATATGAACCCAGGCCAAAGCGCTCATGAAGCGCCGGGCGAGTGTTTTACCACTGCACCACGGAAACTGTATCTCTCTCTCTCTCTCTCTCTCTCTCTCAATAGAGGGTAACTTTTGAAATAATTATTTGGTATGTTTCCTTTTGTCTCAGCTCTCCAGTGTGTGGAGTGCACAAGTTAAATACTGTATACAGTTCAATAGTTTGTGTTTGAAAGTAAATATGAAAGTAATAAATATGTGTTTGAAAAAATAATGGCAGTTCTAGCCCCTAACATCCTATATTTGTAGGTTAGTAATCAAAATAGCATTGTTAATGTTATGTTGGGATTTAAACATGCGGGCCCAGTAATTGAAACAAGTTAGGGTATTCAGCACCAGGAGTATGTGTATGTGTTAATGTTGTGTGTGTGCACACGTGTGTGTGATTACCTAAGTGTAGTTACAGGATGAGAGCTACGCTCATGGTGACCCGTCTTCCTAACAGTCTTTGTCATATAACGCTTTGAAACCACTTTTGGTTTTGGCTTCCACCACCTTCTCACTCATATAGCTAGTTCCAACCGTCTACCACTGGGTTTGTAAATGATAACGTTCTAATATTTTTTTGGCACCTTTGTTTCCTTAGCTTGAATCTGTGTTCTCTTGTTTGTGAAGTTACTGGCGTTGAATGTAATGAAATGCCATTTTCTGGGTGTGACCCGGAGGCTCCCCGGAGCAATCCAGGCTGACATGCTAATATTAGACTTTTGGCATCAGTGTGAATGGAGTTCTTAGACCTACCAGGGACCATGAACCAGAACCTGGCCCCCTCAGAGAGGCAACGAGGAGCAATGTCCTATAGAAACCCCCATGTGGTTGGAAGCATTCTCGCCTACCATGTTCCAACTGTCTACCACTTTGTTTGCCAAAGTGAATTTTCTTATATTTTTTTGGCAGCTTTGTTTAGTTAGTTTAAATTTATAACCTCTTACTTTTGAAGTTCCAGGTCTCAGAAATTTTCCCCTATCAATTTTATCAATCATTGTTACTATTGTGTAACTCTTTTTCTTCTATCTTCTAGTTTTAGCATATTTAATGCCTCTAACCTCTCCTCATAGGTCTTGTCTTTTTATGTATGTGTGCATGTGTGTGTGTGTAATGTGTCTTCATCGCTTGTGTGACTTAGGGGGAAAACCACGAAGAGGTAACAGTAGGACTTGCTACCCAAATCCACATTGGTCAAATGCTTACAAAGAGAGCAATATCTGATGAAAGATTAGCAGATAAATTAACCAACAAATATTAAGAAAGTTGTAATTAATCATTTGAGTTTTTCAGCACTGTAGTTTGGGAAATGTGAATACCATAGTTGTTGCAGTAGAATAGGTTTCTTATATTACAGTAACAGTTTTTGTCCTATAATCATCTTTGCACATCCAACCATTTCAAAAGAAACAGCATTTTTTTTTACATAAAATATAACTTTTTTTACTCAAGGTCAATATGGAATATGTCTTCTGGAGAGATAGTATTGTGGATAAAGTATTTTCTCACGTAAGGTTTACATAATATGATACGAGGATAGTTTTTATGTACATAATAATCTCCGGTAAACATTGTTTAAGTTTATTGTGGGAAACTCAAAATGTCATTAAACTGTATAATTCAAGCAATTGTTGTACTTTAGAATTTAAAAGTATATTTTGAATACATATGTGCAACTGTAACAATTAAGTCTTGTTTCAGAGAATGTAGGTTTTTATCAGTATTAATGGTTTTAAAATAAAGATCATTCATACTTTACTTCAAATTGCCAGCAATGAGTTCTTGGTACTGTATGTTTATTGTCTTGCAGGTTTGTGTTTTCTGGCTATGTCTAGTATACAATCCACTTTGAAAAAGAAGCAATATGTTATATTCCAGTATTCCTTTTCATGTTCTAGTGTGTAAAAATACAAAATGCATGAAATTAATGTGCAAATAAAATACACAAATACAAAGTTCATATCCAGTAAAACTAAAACACAAAAATTTTACTTAATACACATATACACAAATAACAGTTTCAAAATGTCACATGACAAAGCTTGTAGGAAGATGAAATACTACAAGCATAGCTCTCATCCAATAATTACACTCGTGGTAATTACACTTAGGTACTTAAATACTGCAGACACCATTCACACAATAAACACAAGATCCTGCAAATGCCCCCACCCTATCTGTTTCACTACACATGGTAAATATGGTGTTTTCTTATTAAGAAAACTAGAACTCGGTGTTCGAGAGCCCAGACCAGGCCTGCCACTCGACTCTTACTGCTCGAAATACCAAAACCACAAAACGCTTAAGCCTCAGTTGACATATAACCAATTGTAAATATTAATTAATGTTTGTAATAATGATAATTATATATTGCACACCTAATAAATTTATATACATAGTATATGCACAAAAATAGTATCATACATATACACAGTACTGTATTTATTATACAGAATACTGTACCTGTACTTGTATATATATAATGTACTTTTTAGGCAGTTGCCAAGAGGCTAGATTTCAATAAATATTGAAGATTTTTTAAATTCTTATATTTACTGATAAATGTGCATGGGAAAAATATAACACTCAAACTAGGAAACTTTTATCAATGTTAAATTAACAATTTAGCCTTATCTGTTTAAAAACCATTGTTCCTAAATATTTTAATGCTATTAATGAGGATAATGAGTTTTCTGCCCAAAATTGTTATAAAATCATCATGCATGTGGCAATCATGTGTTCAGTTTTAAAAATGCCAAACAAATCTAACAATACAGCTGTATTTTCTCTCATCACATTGTAGTCTTTTTACATAATGATGATGATCAGCACTAGTTAACAAGTTACTGAGTCACAACAATTCGACATTATTTTGTGTTAATTCTACATGAAGCTCATGTAGACTTTGCTAGTTACTTTGTTTATGATACATATTTAACAACAGTACAATGACTGATAATACAGTAATTTTAGGAATTACATATTTTTATTTACACTGCGTTAAATAAGGTTTGTATTATGCTCAACACCAGTAAATTTAATTTAAAGGCTTCTATGCAACATTGAGAATATAAATAAATTTTACTTGCATTTTATAT